CAGCTGGATAGAACAGGTGGAATTTACGCAGCTCATTTACACACTTTTCCTGAAGATAGAAGAGTTTGTTGAATCTGACGTGACATGTTCGTAAGAACCCTTTGTACGAACAAAAGTAGGAGAAATTTAGGATAAGAATATGAACACGTTCTTGCATGAGGCCCATTGTCTTTAGAGCCATCATGATAATTGGGACATCATTAAGATTTTTGGAAGGGGAAAATCTGGTCAAAGATCAGCATAATTGTTGTATTTTGCTGTGTGAACTAGGCTTTAGATTGTCTTGAAAATTTTATAACTTGAATACAAACATCACTTAACAGAATTGCTCCTTCAAAAAAAGACAGTGATCAGTCAGTTTTCAGTTTTATGTAGTTGTTTTATCAAAACAGGCAGAAGCTTAAAAGAAAATGGTGCTTCCGTAACTTGGGAGGCTTTTATTTAACCAGGAGACAACCTGCCAACATACAAGAAAGCCCTTTGTAAAATTATAACTTCAAAGTACTCATCTTTGATATAGAACAAAAACAAGGTTTCTTTTTAGTACTGTAGTTAGATGAATGAAAAGTCCCATGTCTGTTCAGTCATGTAAGTAACGAAGTGATTGTTATAATCTGTGTTTATTTCCTAAGTTTTTGTGTTTCAGTGTTCCCCTGTGTTTCTTTGCCCTGCAGCAAAGCACAGGATACATTCTTAATTGTTACGCTGATGATACTCAGTTATATTTATCCATAAAATATGATAAATCCAATTAGTTTATTGGATTGCACGCTTCTCATAAAAACCTGGATTACTCCTAATTTTCTGCTTCTAAACTTAGACAAGACAAAGATTGTAGTTATGGACCTGACAATCTTAGAAATAAATGTTCCTTTCCACTGTTGCAATGTGCTGCACTGGATGGGAGATTGAAGTGAATACAATACATAGAAGTGAAATCTGTGCAATCTGCTGCTTCTTTAACTTGTCAGACGTACGAATGTTTGTACACAATGCCCTGTGACTTGTGTTATGAATTGGCACTTTATAAATAAACTGAACTAAATATTAATTGAATTTAAGCTCAGTAGCTGCAAGCTCAGGAGTTGCTACTTGTTTCTATATTTGTCACCAAAATTAAGACATAAGACTTTCCCCTTTTCTATGAGTCAATTTTGTTTGAGTAATCAATTTTTCCAACATTTTATTTTCTACTCAGTCATCCATCAGTATTTAGTTATAAATGTTGCTTTCTCAAATAGACACACTATTTTACTCTGCAATGTTTTTTACCCAGTTCCTTTATTCGTTTTTTTACACAGTGCATTTGCTCATGTACTATAACAAAAAAAATCCCCCTTCTTTGCTGGCTGTCTACAGTCTCCTCCACCAGTTCTCACTTACTATCACATACTATGACACCACTCACCTTCTACCTTCTAGCAATGACACCCGTCAGAACAACATCCAAGATACCAGTAAAATAACTCTTGGACAATAATCGTAAATAAATCATATTGTGCAAATAGCTCTGAGTCATTGTTGTATATTTATGCAAAATATAAACATATGAATCTCTAGGTTGAAATGCAAACATATTCAATAAAATAAAGAGAAGCCAAAAAGCTAAGAAACCTTGGAAGTGCATTACCTGAGGTCAATTATAGTTTTGTACTTTTGCAGAATCAGCCTGACCATCTACTCTAAGCCAAACAATGCATTGCATGCCTGAGTTTAAATTCTAACTTTAGGGTTTTTGAATTTAACGTGCAAATACTTTAGAGCTGGTGCAATATTTATCTAGTACAGCTCTGATGATAACATTTCACAGTTCTAACTTGTGGTAAAAATGGAAGTTATTAACCAAATGTAAAACTCAGGTAGTCAAGCTCAGAACTTACAAGGCAACTTGGATTTCTCTAGTCAGTCTGGCAGATCTTTTGTTCTTTTACCTTCCAACAGACTTTGAAGCTCAGGACTCACAGCAGGCCTGAGATGTAAGTCACACACGTAAACGAGAGTATTCAAAGCATGGTGCTTGTTTTGGTATTACCTCATTAATGATTAGGCTGCCATTTTTCTCAATGCTTTCCAGAAGACAGATCGTTCTGACACACTCCTTAAGATGATTGACTGACTGAAGACAAAAGGAAAATCAGCCTAATAAAGACATTAGCCTTAATTTTACACAGCTTTGCTTCCCCTTGGCAAATCAGCAGATGAGTACATCAAATCTGTGGGTGTTTGGATTTAAAAGTAATAAAGAGAAGCTGGCTGCAAGGCAACAGTTAAATAATCTAAAATTGTCTCCCTCTCCAGCTGTTAGTCTTTTTGATTTAAATAACATTTGTGTTATTTACAGAGAGGTTGTTGCTGCTCTTCCACTTTGGCCAAATTTTCTTCGAAGTTTTGGAAACTTTCAAACCACCTGCTGTTTTGTCTGTGCTCTTGTGGAAACAGTAGACCCCGTAGAGACGGAACTTTTTATCGGGGAAGCCCAAGTGTCGGACTCCTGGCTGTGATCCTCCACAACGAGAGCGAGGGTTGACAATTGGGTACCGAATGCTTCCGTCCTCCAGCCAGCCAGCCTCACAGCGGTCCAGAAGCTGAAACTTCCAGGCTGCGTACAGCTGACCCACTTTGGCCACCATCGAACCGTCTCGAATGCATGCCTTTGTCGCTTCTGCAAAGTTCACTTTCTTGAAACGTTTGAGGAAATACACTCTACCTAAAGAGAGAATAAGAATGATGTATTAGCATGGAACAAATGATGATCAATCTTAATCAATCTTGAGAAACATATAGATGTTTAAAGAAGATGAGCTAATATAGGAGCTGGGAGTCATCTACATCAGTGATAACCAACCTGCAAAGATGTGGAATATTGTTAATCTTAACCCAATTGAACATTTCACTTTTTAAAGACTAAACTGCTGACAGAAAGGCCGACAAACAATCAGCAGCTGCAAACTGCTGCGGTAAATGCCTGGCAGAGCATTAAAAAGGAGGAAACACAGCGTCTGGTGATGTCTTTGAGTTCAAGACTTCACGCAGTCATTGCCAACAAGGGGTTTATCAACTGGCTATGTTCACGCAGCAGGTCCTAATGATCAATTCCGATTTTTTGAAAAAAATCTGATATTTTTGGTGTGAACGTTCACATTACATTTTTAATGCGACCTGCATCGAACTTCAGCGTGAACTCTCCATGGCACTAATGTGAAAAACATGCGCAGCAAAAGACGTGACGTCTCATTCAGCTTGTTTGTTTACAGAGTTAGCATGGATGCTATTTTTAGCATGTCAAATCTGAAGTTGTTGTTCAATCGATTAAATAATTATCTGACATGCTTGTTTAGTTCAGTGTTTATATCTGAACCTGCCTCTGGCTGGATGCTCCAGTGAAGCATTTTATTTTTGGAATGAAACAACGAGCTGGAAATAAAGTTTCAACTGAGTAACTTTAGGATCGATATGCCCCACGACTGAGGCTGGACGTTACTATCTACAGTGGAGTGTGAAAATTTGGGTAGCCTTGTTAATTTTTCTGATTTATCTTTATAAATCATTGATTGTTTGGATTAAAAAATCTGTTAAATATATCATATAGGCGACAAACACAGTGATATTTGAGAAGTGAAATGAAGTTTATATGATTTACAGAAAGTATGCAATAATTGGTTAAACAAAATTAGGCAGGTGCATAAATTTGGGCGCAAAAAAATTTAACTCAATATTTAGTAGATCCTCCTTTCACAGAAATAAAATTCTCTACATGCTTCCTACAGCTTTTAATGAGAGTCTGGATTGTGGCTGAAGGTATTTTAGACCATTCTTCTTTACAAAACATCTCTAGTTCATTCAGGTTTGATGGTTTCCAGCATGGACAGCTCTCTTTAAGTGACACCACAGATTTTCAATAATATTCAGATCTGGGCATTCTGGAATGGCCATCTCAGGATGTCCGTTCCAGAACGTTGTACTTGTTCCTCTGCATGAATGCCTCGGTAGATTTTGAGCAGTGTTTAGGGTGGTTGTCTTGTTGGAAGATCCAGCCCCGGCGGAGCTTCAGCTTTGTCACAGATTCCTGGACATTGGTCTCCAGATCTACTGATATTGGTTGGAATCCATACGTCCTTCAACTTTAACAACATTCCCAGTCCCTGTACTGGCCACACAGCCCCACAGCATGATGGAACCACAGCCAAATGTTACTGTAGGTAGCAGGTGTTTTTCTTGGAGTGCTGTGTTCTTTTTTCTCCATGCATAACAGTCCTTGTTCTGCCCAAATAACTATTTTAGTTTCATCAGTCCACAGCACCTTATTCCTAAATGGAGCTGGCTTGTCCAAATGTGCTTTAGCAWACCTCAAGCAGCTCTGTTTGTGATGTGGGCGGAGAAAAGGCTTCCTCTGCATCACTCTCACATACAGCATCTCCTTGTGTAAAGTGTGCTGAATAGTTGAATGATGCACAGTGACTCCATCAGCAGCAAGATGATGTTGTAGGTCTTTGGTGCTGGCCTGTGGGTTGACTCTGACTGTTCTCAACATCCTTCACTTCTGTTTATTCCAGATTTGTCTTGGTCTGCCACTTGGAGCCTACACTTGAACTGTGCCTGTGGTCCTCCATTTTCTCACAGTTTGTCACAGTGGAGACTGAAAACTGAAATCTCTGAGACAGCTTTCTGTATCCTTCCCCTTAACCATGATGGTGAACAATCTTTGTTTTCAGTTCATTTGAAAGTTGTTGAGACTCCCATGCTGCCATGCAAAGAGGAGAAAAACTTACAATTGCCCTCCTTAAATACGTCCTGATGCATCTCAGTAATCCAGGTAAAAAAATCAAAAGGAAAAAAATTGTATAGGTCCTCTGGACGGGCTCTTCTTTAATGAAACGTTTCGTCTCTCTTCCAAGAGACTTCTTCAGTCTGAGAGTTTCAGGCAAAATTCAGGCTTTTGAGTCCTGCCTCCAGGTGACTGATACTCACATCACATGGCTATCATTCACACCTAATTAATACCTATTGTTAACAGGGGGTGGAGTGATACTGCCAATGGCAGCGCTGTAGGAGGGGGACAGCTGAAAACGGAGGCCTCCACCTCTGTTTAATGATGGAAGGTCTTTCTTCACAAAAATGGCTTCTTTTACTCCTCTCTCAAACCAACGTTCCTCTCTATCAAGAATGAGAACATCCTCATCTCTGAAAAAGTGACCGCTGGCCTCTAAATGAGTGAAAACTGCAGAGTTCTGGCCATTAGATGTAGCTCGTCTGTGTTGGGACATTCTTTTGAACAGTGGCTGCTTTGTTTCCCCGATGTATAACTGGTCGCAGTYCTCCTGGCACTTAACAGCATATACAATATTGCTCTGTTTGTGCCGGGGCACCGGATCTTTGGGGTGAACCAGCCTTTGCCGTAATGTGTTGTGGGGTTTTAAAGCTACTGGGACATCATGTTTAGAAAATAAACGTCTCAGTTTCTCCAAAACACCTGCAACATACGGAATAACCACTGGTTTGGGTCTGGGTTTGGGGTCTTCATTTTCACCTGAAGGTTGCATGGAATCCTGTCTGTGTTTCCTGTCTGCTTTCAGGAAAGCCCAGTCAGGATAACCACACTGCTCCAGGGCCTGTCGTGTGTGTGATTTCTCTTTCTGCCTGGCTCCTGGGTTTTCCTCCTTAAACACCCTTTCTTATAATTGGAGTCACCTGTGTGTGGAGGTCAAGGGTCACTGAACTTACCAAACCAAATTTAAGTTCCAATAATTAGTTCTAAAGGTTTTGAAAACAATAAAATGACAACAGTGCCCAAATTTTCCTGCCTAATTTTGTTCAACCAATTATTGCACACTATCTGTAAATCATTTATACTTCATTTCACTTCTCAAATATCACTGTTTGTCCCCCGTATGATATATTTAACTGATTTTTTTAATCCAAATAATCAATGATTTATAAAGGTAAATCAGGAAAATTAACAAGGTTGCCCAAACTTTCGCACCCTACTGTACATGGAAAATCCAAAGTAAAAAGACAAGCAACTGGACTTGAGTTTTGGAGCTGTAAACACATGGATCTACAGATTTAAACAGTGTAACTCGAGTGTGTTATCAGTCTTTTACCCCCACCTCAATGATGATAATTTCAAATAGAATGTGACATGAGCTTTCACACTGCAGTCACTTTGAAAGCATCAGAAATACAGTATATCCTATTTAGAACCACATACTGAAACAGCCTGGGTCTGATTTCAAAAAATCTGATTTGTTGTGTTTAGACTGTCATAAGAAAATCAGATATGGGTTGCATGGGGCAAAAAAATTGGATTTGAGTCGCATTTACCTGCAGTGTGAACGAAGCTAAGTGTTAGAAATGAACATTTCATTTATAATTGTTTAATTTGTCCAGTTACTCTTGAGCCCATGAAACAGATATAATGTTAGCATGTTAGCCCATGCTGAAAGTTGGTGTGGAGCACAATAAAATGCAAAAACAAGGGAATAGGACACCACTCTCATTATTTTATATTTTATGTTATGTAGCAGAACAAAGCACAAAATGTTATTTACATGTAGTTGTCAGACAGAAACTCATTTAAAAGAGGTGCAGAATTAATTTTGATCAGGCAAATTTTAGGACAACCTGCCGCATTTGGCACTGTCTTTGTTGATGCAGACCAGGGTCCTTATGTATGGAAAGAATTAGAAGCGGTGTGGAAAATGCTACCAGCAGTCATCATTAATGTGCCTTTATTACTGTGTTTACAGAATAAAGTCCCCTTGCACCTCAATACACTGGCAGTAGTTATTTCTTATTAACCAAGTGTGTAACGTTGGTTCCCCTTTGACCTAGAAAGTAAGGATGGGTCAAGAAAATTGATGGATGAATTTTGGTGTGGCAGTCACTGAGAGTTATCCACAATCCATACATATTCCAAACCCTTACAGATCATGTGGGATCTTTGATTAAAATGTTTGGTGGTGAGTTATATGCATTTCCTCAAGAAATGCTATTTTTATTTAAAATGAAACAAACAGAACTAAATGACTCAGCCCCCTGTGAGCAAAAGGTGTGAATCAGGGCCCCAACGATAACCAGCACAAAGAGGGAAAAAAGACAAAAACAAGGGGACGTTGAGCCCGGCCTGCACTCACTACATACACATAACACAACACCTAATGGTGCGTTCCAGTAGCACTGGGAAGTGGTAATTTCGTTGCTCCAACTCGTAAATTGAAACTGGAACGCCCCGCCCCAGTGGTACGTTCCACTTGTGAACTGGTAGCGACTGCGACTACCCCTACTTTGATTTTCAAGATGGCGTCAGCTCACAGCTTTGGTAAGTACACTCCGTAACTTTTACTATTTGTAAAAGTTCTAAATGGAGTTACGAATATTTAACACCACGCACAACTTGGGCGTCAAATTATACATCCGCAACACATTAAGAAACATGTTTAGTTGCATGGTATACGGTGTATAGCTCAGTTCTACTCATTGTTTATGTGTGTACCAGCGGCAGCGACATGGTAAACTCGTTTTCTTGCGAACCTTTCCTGTACAGCAGATGCAAAAGTAACATTTCGTGATACATTTTGTTTTAAATAATGTTTTGTTTTCCTTCATTGWATTAAATGCAATGGCTGCTTATTTTTAATGCAACCCAGACCTACATAGATATTATTTGTTAAATTGCCTGTAAATCACATGGTCAAATAAGTTTCTTTGGATTTCAAAGCCCTGTGTGTAACACTATCTCCTTGTTTTTAATATATTACTTGATAAGGCTGTTGCCTGTTCATTTGTGTAATAACTACTGTATGTGTGTGTGTGTGTGTGTGTGTGTGTGTGTGTGTGTGTGTGTGTGTGT